GTAGAAAAAGTCTCCTATATCATCAGAGAGTTCACACTGGAGAAAAGCCTTACCAATGCAGTGAATGTGGGAAATCTTTTACCCTGAAAACTAACCTTCGTTATCATCAGACAGTTCATACAGGAGAAAAGCCTTATAAATGCAGTGACTGTGGAAAATCTTTTAAACGTAGAAAAAGTCTCCTATATCATCAGAGAGTTCACACTGGAGAAAAGCCTTACCAATGCAGTGAATGTGGGAAATCTTTTACCAAGAGCACTCATCTTCGTTGTCATCAGAGAGTTCATACAGGAGAAAAGCCATATCAATGCAGTGAATGTGGAAAATCTTTTACCAAGAGCAGTTCCCTTCATCGACATCAGACAGTTCATACGGGAGAAAAGCCTTATAAATGCACTGTATGTGGGAATTCTTTTAAAAGCAGCAGTGGTCTTCAGTATCATCAGAGAGTTCACACTGGAGAAAAGCCTTACCAATGCAGTGAATGTGGGAAATCTTTTACCAAGAGCACTCATCTTCGTTGTCATCAGAGAGTTCATACAGGAGAAAAGCCATATCAATGCAGTGAATGTGGAAAATCTTTTACCAAGAGCAGTTCCCTTCATCGACATCAGACAGTTCATACGGGAGAAAAGCCTTATAAATGCACTGTATGTGGGAATTCTTTTAAAAGCAGCAGTGGTCTTCAGTATCATCAGAGAGTTCACACTGGAGAAAAGCCTTACCAATGCAGTGAATGTGGGAAATCTTTTACCCTGAAAACTAACCTTCGTTATCATCAGACAGTTCATACAGGAGAAAAGCCTTATAAATGCAGCGAATGTGGAAAATCTTTTAAAGGTAGAAAAAGTCTCCTATATCATCAGAGAGTTCACACTGGAGAAAAGCCTTACCAATGCAGTGAATGTGGGAAATCTTTTACCCTGAAAACTAACCTTCGTTATCATCAGACAGTTCATACAGGAGAAAAGCCTTATAAATGCAGTGAATGTGGAAAATCATATAAAAGTAGCAAAGGGCTCCAATATCATCAGACAGTTCACACTGGAGAAAAGCCTTTTCAATGCAATGAATGTGGAAAATCTTTTTCTACTAACACAGACCTTCATAAACATCAGAGAGTTCATACGGGAGAAAAGCCTTATCAGTGCAGTGAATGTGGGAAATCTTTTACCAAGAGCACTCATCTTCGTTGTCATCAGAGAGTTCATACAGGAGAAAAGCCTTATAAATGCAGTGACTGTGGAAAATCTTTTAAACGTAGAAAAAGTCTCCTATATCATCAGAGAGTTCACACTGGAGAAAAGCCTTACCAATGCAGTGAATGTGGGAAATCTTTTACCAAGAGCACTCATCTTCGTTGTCATCAGAGAGTTCATACAGGAGAAAAGCCATATCAATGCAGTGAATGTGGAAAATCTTTTACCAAGAGCAGTTCCCTTCATCGACATCAGACAGTTCATACGGGAGAAAAGCCTTATAAATGCACTGTATGTGGGAATTCTTTTAAAAGCAGCAGTGGTCTTCAGTATCATCAGAGAGTTCACACTGGAGAAAGCTATAAAGAGTGCAATTAATGTGAGGTATCTTTCAGCCAAATTTCTAAATTCCCTCTCCGCATAAGAGTACAAATGTGACCCCTAACGCGTTTGGCTCAGTGGATAGAGCGTCAGCCTGCGGACTGAAAGGTCCCAGGTTCGATTCCGGTCAAGGGCATGTACCTTGGTTGCAGGCACATCCCCAGTAGGGAGTGTGCAGGAGGCAGCTGGTCGATGTTTCCCTCTCATCGATGTTTCTCTCTCTTTCTATCCCTCTCCCTTCCTCTCTGTAAAATATCAATAAAACATATTTTTAAAAAAACAGTACAAATGTGAGACATTTCTTAGATGTATAGGAAATGTAATTTATTAGGAGTTAACAATAGTACAAGAAAATTTGTGAGTCCTCATTTTTCTGAATTGTATCATACATTTAATCACCTACATTATGTAAAGTTCCCATAAGTGTTTTTGCTGTTGTGTTTCTGTGTTTTTATGTTGGAACACTATGTAATTATGTTGCACGTTCTAACATACAGGATGTCCTGCCAGATCTGTGTCACTGCATATTTCTGTTGCTGAAGGTATTTCACCTGAACCATCTATAAGGTCCCTACAGATGGCATCAGTCACCATCCTCCCGTGCCCAGGGATGCTAAGTCAGACTCTAATTTGTTGACGGAAATGAGGAATACCTGAGTCCTTAGTTCTTTCTTCTTTCCCTGTCTTGTGTTGCCAAATAGGACTCATTACAGTTGGCTGCAGTAATCATAATGTTGCAGAGGGCCTGCCATTTTCAGGGACACACTCTCCGTAGATGCTAATGATGAGTTTATTGCGTGCCTAAGTCATCAATGGAAGAACTGCCAGTCTCATGTCTCTATGGATTGTAAAATAATGAAGGCTTTTTCTTAAGACTTCTTTAATCTGGGTTGTTCTATTTATTCGATAGGTTAGTTTATAAGGAGATCTGGGCTTTCCAAGCATGAAGAGTTGAAAAACTTTTAGGGGTATCAAACATTTTTGCCCATGGGGCAACAGTATGGTTCAGAAATTAATTCAGCAGTCTTTGGCAAATTTACACTACTGCCCATATTTTCCTAGGAAACACTGTGGACATTCTACTTCTCATGTGAATATGGATGCTTTGACACATAGAGATGACTCCAAAGAGAGGGTAGCTGTGACAACCTCAAGTGTGTCTGGAAACATGAATTTTTTTCTTGTTTGCAAGCGATGCCAATACGTGTGAAGTGAATCTCTTACCCAGGTCTTGCAGAGGGACATAAGCCCTAATGCCTACAATATCACGGGTGATGGTCAATGGTTTGAGGACCATCGCATTCATGGGGAACCCTTTCACTACAGAAACACTGACCTAATTGTTGTTGGATGAGACTGCACCCCTTTAGATGGAATGGTCCTCACCTAACTGTGCATCCCGGCATTATTTTTAGGAAAAGACTACAAGAGCTGTGTGTACACAGATCTGAGGGACTCCAGGCTTGTTTATCTTCTGTGAAGCAGTCATTGTCATTGATTACAATCAAGATGTTTTGTTGCTCCTGTAGCTTCTCAGAAGTTCCCATCAGAGCCATTGGTGCGCTGGCATCAAAAGAAAGATGTAGACAACGGCTGTCCTTAGTCCAGGAATGTGGCTTTTGTGGGTTTGGGTGAAAGTTCTTCATTGTTTATTACATTTTCTGTCACTAAGTTGAGACTCTCACCCAGAGGGCATAAGTACGGGGATTGAACATAGAGTTGCCAAACTTGTTCTTCCAGAATACCATTGAACCATTTTTAACAGCTATAATGAGTAAATTACATGTGTTAAGTACAGTGTTTCATGAATCTTGACATGTGCATAAAACTGAAACCATCATTATAGTCATAAAGCTGACCATATCTGTCTCTGTGTAATTGCATAATGACCTCTTAATCTGTCCCTCTTTTAAGCTGTTCACAGCTTTCCTAGTAACCATGGATTTATATTTCATTTTCATAGAGTACTTTATTTTTCTAAGTATTTTTCTGCATTAGTTTATGTTTCATAAATACTTGGAGATTTATTAAAGTTACACTAGTAACTGATCATTTTTCCGATAGATATTCTTATCATTGATATATCACCATCAGTTTGTCCATTTTAGTAAATATTTGGTTATTTCTAATAAAGCTGGTACAAACATTTCTGTATAATTTTTTGTATGTATATAAGTGTTATTGACCTTTGTCAAAATTTCAGTGCATAGCCTGTGGTTTTTGAGAAGATGAATGTTTAAATTTACCGAGATTAGCAAATTGTGATCTAAATGGAATATACCACTAGGGCCGGTGTGGGTCAGTACTTGTCCATCATCTCTTGTAGCACAGGGTTGTGGATTTGCTTGCCAGTGGGGATATGTGCCTGTGTTGTGGGCTAGACCCACAGAAGTGGGTGTGCAGGAGGTCACTGGCCAATATGGCACTCTTCCATCAATGTTTCTCTCTCTCCCTTCTCTCTCCAAAAATTAATAAACTATTCTTTAAAAATAAAAAATAAACCTTTCCCTAGCCGCTTTTGAACAGTGGAGTGAGCGTCAGTCATTGAACTAAAGGGTCCCTGATTAGATTCCAACCAAGGACACATGTCTGGGTTTGGGGCTGAATCTCAGCTAGTGGGCCTGTGGGAGTTGCAATCAATGATTCTCTCTCCCTCTCCCTTCCTCTCCCAAATCAATTAGAAAATATGTTTAAAAACAAAAACCATCAGTGTCTATGAGCCTGTCTCACTAAGAATGGAGTGACTCAACCAATAGCCGAGCTCTATGGGATGCTAATAAGTAATAAAGATTGTTTTTAAAAAATAAAATAAACCGTAACTGGTTCTACTCCTTTGCATTTGGCCAGTGGTGTGTGAGGGATTCACATTCTTCACATCCTAGAGAATATTTTGTTTGGTCAATCATTATTTACTTAAAAATTTTATTTTGTAAGTTTGTCATGCTACCTCACTGTTTGATTGTATTTTTTCTAGAAATTTATGGTGAGTCTTTTCTCCAATATATATTTGCTGTGTCTGTATCTTTCTTAAAACCTCTGATCATATGTTCTGCCTAATGTTTTATGAGTTTTGGCAATTTTCTTTAACAAAAAGACAATTGGATAACAAATATGAATGTTAGAATTTTCACTCATTTTGTGCCTTTTTGATTTAGGAAATAAATTTTTGTATTGATATAAAGTGTTTTAATAATTTTTACCTGTTAAAAATATCTATTTTTAAGAGATTTTAAAAATATTTTTTATTGATTTCACAGAGGAAGGGAGAGAGAGAATCATCAATAATGAGAGAGAATCATTGATGGGCTACCTCCTTCACGCTGCTGCTGGGAATGGACCCCGCAACCCAGGCATGTGCTCTGATGAGAAATCGAATGGGGGACATCTTTGTGCCTGTGCTGATGCTTAACCACTGAGCAACACCAGCTAGAAATTTTTAGTTTTTAAATACTATGCACAATGCAGTGAACACTTTTACTTTTAACCGGCACTACTAACATTCTTCACCACCTTCAGAAGAGCAACTTTAGAAAAACTCAGGACAGGAACCCTTCAGTTCCCCAGTGCCAACAAGCACCTTTGTGTGTAAGGGCTTTTGAGAAAGAACTGGGGCCTTTCTGAACCCGCTGACCCACCTGCAGGGAGGCAGTACTGTGGGCACTAAGGTCTCAGTGTTGGGTCTCCAACCTGGAATCTCCAGGAGACTCACTACAGCTCCCTGCACCTCAGTTGGTTAAATGTAACATGATGCTGATACCGGACTTAGCTAGGACTGTGAGAATCAATAAAAGTTACAAAGTTGGTACTTGCCTGGGCCAGGGTTCCAGGGATGACTTTTTGAGTATTTTTGTCTTTCAATTCTCACAAAAACCTGGAAAGTCTAAACGGGTATTGAACTGCTGGGAACATCTTCGATTACAGAAATGAGGAAGATTTTCCAAGTTTACTTAACAAACAATGCCAGGGCTGAACAGCAGACTCTGAGTGATGGATGAATGATTACTCTGGCACATTTTTGTGAAAGAGAGGGCTAAGGGACTGCCTGGATAACAGAACCAAACAGCCCCCTTCGCTTGCCTCCTTAGGCTTTTATTGTAACAACAGCTTGAATCAAAATTAACTATTAGATACTATCAGTAGGGTAAGCATTCTTGAGATCACACATGTGTCTGCAGCGTCCTTTAACAAAGGACATCTAAAGACTAAGCATAAAGATTCTAGTAAATACCCAGGTGCTCGCATGTACACAGACTTGCTTCCCCACAAAACAAGTGTCAGATATAAAGGCTGGATTGCAACCTAGTGTTGGGCCTTGGGTTGCCAGTGGGGAAAAGGGCCTGGTTGTGTGCTAGATCCCCAAAACGGGGTGTGCACAAGGCTAATGATTGAGGTTGCACTGTCATATAGATGTTTCTTTCCCTGTAATTCTTTCTCTAAAAATCAGTACAATATTCTTTTAAAATAAATAAAAATTGTGCATTTTTGCACTATACTAGCAGTATATGAGGGATTCATTCTCCACATCCTAGAGAATATTTTCTTTGGTCAATCATTCTTTTTTTGTTTGTTTTTAAACCCTCAACCTCTGATTTTTCCATTGAGTTTTAGAGAGTGTTAGGGACGTGGAGAGACACACAGAGAGAGAAATATCTGTGTGTGAGAAACAAATCATTTGGTGGACTCTCAAACATGCCCTGACCTGGCTCGGTGTTGAGCCCCCACGAGGTAGAGGCTCTTGAGCAGAATGAAAGCCTTGACCCCTCAGTCCACAGGCCAAGGGTCCATCCTTTGAGCCAAACTATTTGTTGTATAGATGGCTATCATGTTGGCCCCATTCAAGGTTTGGAAAGTGGGCATCTGCACTTGAGATAAAGATTGTGGATCCTAGGGTCTCACAACCTTGCTTGGAAATAATTATTTCACCTGTTCATGAAGTTACAGTGTCTGCATGCAGAATGAACATTATTTATGGCAGAGAATATTGCTAGAGCAAACTATAGAAAGGCATAATGGAGTTATACAATTAGCAGTATTTATATAGCTAGAAGACAAAAGTGTCCATGAAGGCTGACAGCAGGTAGGTCTGAATAGGTGGTAAATTAAAGGCACTGATTCCCAAAAG